ACGTTTTCGATAACCTTTTAAGGATCTCTGTGTAAAACCTTGGATGAAGACATCTTTCCAAATACATGCACTTTTGAGGAAAACTGTCCAGGAACGGTTCACTGTCGTACACGATCTCTTTGTCCTGTTTTTCCCTTCCTTGGGCGTAGAATGTGAGAAAATACTCAAAATTGTGCTTGTCCCCTTGAAATGATACAAGAGCATCTCTACAGTTGTCTTTACTCCAGTAAATATCAGCATTGTTCGAGAGGCGAGACATGAAGTGGACACAGGCCAACTTTTCGCCCATTGCCAAGAGGTTGGCATACTCATGATTTTGACCAATCTTTCTTGCATAAGCATGAATAAGTGGATGTATCTGATACCTGCGGGAATGCAGCTTCTCCACAAGAGATCTGTTCTTCAAGGAGCGAAGGACGGAAATAGGTAAAGTGCCGATGCTCGAACACGGAGCCGTCATCACAGCTTTGGCAGCATCTAGATCAAACGAACCCTGGAACAAAGACAGGAGAATGAAAGCCTCTTTCTCGGGTTTCTTCAAAAGGTCAAACGAAGTCTTAATGGCTTTTTCTACAGATTCTTGGTCGTCCTCTAGAACTGCTAATGGTTCATTCTTGAGGCGGTCTATGAGCGTTTCTTCAGAATAGTCTGAAAGCAAGGATCCAACAATGCAAAGTGCCAAAGGAACACAACCACATAGATTGTTGGCGATGTAATCTGCCCTGGAAAGGTTCGGTGGAGCATCTTCGTAGACTTGCACCCTAGAAATTAGGAGATTTCTCGCCTGTTCGGTGGACAAAGGGTGCAACCTGACTTCGGGGGACTGCAGGTTGGGATCCCCAAATGTTTTCCTTGCAGTTACGACAAATGTTACCTTTTGCCTTGATAACTTTCTAACGTCAGATAAGAGGCTTATAAACGATCCTCGATCATTCGACTCAAGGACGCCATCAGCATTGTCGAGAACAAACGTGACAATGTTATGAACCCCTTTGCTCCAGTCTTTCAGCCACTGCCCCGAATTCTCTGGTACTTGAGTGCTGATTGTACTACACGAGTTGATCATTTCCATGGCCACTTCATTGAAATTTGTCTTTGTTAGTAAACTACAAAACAGCACAGTTCTTTCCTTCTCTCATTTTGCTAACTCATGAGCCACTCGTTTAGCCACAGTTGTCTTTCCGAATCCTGGTCCACCAGTGATCAGGACAACAGGGACTCCACTCTGAACCATATCTCTGACTTGCTTTATTTCTTGGTCTCGGCCAAATATACTCTCTTCTGATATTTTGTCCGGTAAACAGCTGTCGGGGCTGAAAATCGTCGTGTCAATCTTTTCTCGTTCCTGCATCTCTTTCCATATCCCAGCTTGTTCTTTTAAACGCTGGGGCGTCTCGTGATCAATGGGATAGTTCTTTAGCGCCTCCATTTTCTCTACGTGTCTCTTCCGTTGAACATACATCTCAATTGTTTCTAAAGAAGATACTATCTCTTTCCACTTGTCCTCGAATTCAGCGTTTGGAATTCCGCTAGAGACGCTGTGACACAGCTCATTTCGGAAATATTTGATGCAAGCAATGTTTGCCGCGAGGCTATTATCATCTTCTGCAGGCTTATTGTGCCATCCGGTTGAAGGCGGCGTAAGGTGGCAAACTTCACGAAGCAAGAGAT